GGGGGGGGGGACGGATATATATCACTGAATTGCATTTTCAAGCACAAGGGTCTGACACGAAAAAAGTTCATGATTGCTGTGCACAAGTGCTGAAGTTCCCCCCGTGAATCTAATCCCCAAGCTAATGCTGATATGGAGGCTCACAACTTGACTCGCTCCTGGCTGCCGCCCCCACTGGTCCTCCTCGCCGGTCTCAACTGCGGCCCAGCAATCCCAGGCCCGGTGCCCGCTGGATACTCATTCCCGTTTCCGTTTCCACTTCCATTGGCTCCAGCACCGGGCTCTGCAGTCTGTGCCTGACCCACCACCGTGGCTGCTAGAGCCCTCCCCCTCATCGCAGCCTGCTGCTGCTGTTGTTGCTGATCAATAGCAGCACCCAGCGTCCTCTCCCTGTTCAGCAGCCACTGCACCTGTGCCCTGGTGCTGAACAGGGCATTACTCATTATGGACAGTTGCTCTTCCAGGCGAAGACGGTCGTTGATGCAGACCATGGAGTTGTGGGCGTCGCCCTGTTCGACGCGGCGGGACAGGTGGTTGTGGTTCAGGGAGAGGTCGGTGACGATGGTGCGGAGGTTCTCGTGCAGGGCGAGGAGGTGGCGGTGCGACGCTCGGAGGCTGGGCTCGGTGGTGGTGGTGGTGGTGTGGTGGTGGAGGGAGAAGGGGCGGATAGACCGGTCGGGGGCTGGTTCGAGATTGCCGGCTGGGCGGCGTTGGAGCTTGACGCGCAGTTGGAGGCTGCTGGATGGCTGGCTGGATCGGAAGCTCCTCTGCGCGACTGCTGGAGCTCTTGTGTTGCCGACTCGATGGCTTCGAAGAGCTTGTCGATCCCTTCTTCCAGGCCCTTGACCCGCTGCTGGCTGCGCGAGAGCTCCTCTTGTAGCGGTGCGAGGCTGTTGGCAACATGCTTTTTGAGATACGGGGTCATCTTCGCCATTGTGCAAGTTTGGACGTGCTCTTCCAGTGCCGAGGGGTCCAAGTAGACATCGCAACCGAATTCTTGCCCAGGGCAATGTTCCTTGGGCTCGCATTCGTGGGTTTCTCGGTCTGAATGGGTGATTAGACGTTGACAGTGAACGCATTCCACCTGCCTGAGCGAGCAATCGGCTTGTCTGTGGGTTCCCATCTCCTCCGATAGGACCAGATCTCCACATGCGCATTCGGTGTGCGTGGCATGTCTGCACAGTCCCAACACATAGTGTTTCCTCTTTACTTTCTCTTTGCAACCATGATCCGGACAAGAGATCACTCGTTCCATGCAATACTGCGTCAGATGAGTTTGAAGATCGCCTCTGGCCACGATTTTCCCGCATTTGTCCGAAGGGCACTTGACTTTCATGTCATTGCACATGTTGATCACGACGCGCGGAGCAGATGCAGTGTTTGTGACTGTGGTTCGACATGCCGGACACGGCAGCCTATCTCCTGGCCTCTGCGCCGTTGTCCAGTATTTGACAAGGCATTCTGCACAGAAGTAATGCCCGCATTGTACAGACACAGGGTCAATAAACGTGATGTGGCAGATTGGGCAGGAGAGGTGTGATTCTGGATCAAGATAGTCTATGTCGCGGAGATCCAGACCGTCAACTTGCATGCTTTGTTCTGGGTAAAGGGCGTGATCTATTTCTGGCCTGCCGGATGGAATAGAACGTAAGATGCGACTAAAGCACGATCGTGGAGGCCGTATGCTAGTAAGCTCCCCATGCACGGATATCAAGGTATCATACGTCCATGCCGCCAGAGCACGCTCACTCATGCTGGTAAAGAGCCTCGTGTAAAGACTGAGAGATAGAGTAGGGAGGAGAAGTGCAAGATTTACCTTCCAGTTGTGCAGTGACAGTTCTGTGACAGCATTTCGATAGCATCTTGAACTGCGAGTTCGGAGTCAAAGTCGTCTGGCAAGGGTAAAGCCGGGTAGAGTCGGAGAGGATTTGGTTTTCATAAACTCCGACCGCCTGTCGCACAAGAAGTGCAGTCTATCCGGCCATGACTTCCTGCACTTCCTTCCAGGCTCACATCCAAGGCCCATTCTCCATGTGGGTAGTCGCATATCAATATCTCTCCAAAAGAACAATTAAATGGTTTGCAAACCATCAGAAGGTCTATCGTAAGAACAGATTAGGAGGACTGACTCCGAAAGTTAAGTGACGACGGATTGCAGGCACACAGCCTGGTAAACGCCACTTTCAGTTACCATGCTCTGTGACCATTGACATGGAAACACGAACTCTGAGAGAGATGGCCTTCGCTAGCATACCACATCCTGGCGTATCTATGAGCTTGCCGTTGTAAGCCTTGGGGCGGAACTCGGTGGTGCTCAATAACGTGTCACCAAAAGACTATTATAGTATATCTCCAGCCTGGAATCGGCGCCTCATCCTGTACACGATTTCCATCGGAAGTGCCCATGCCCATTGCCATTTGAAACGCCCGGGAATATATTCGCTCATGATACCATCCCTTTATTTCAATATCACAATCAGAAGCACCAATATGACAATCAGCACGATGATCGTTGTCATCCCCCAGTTCTCCTTTGCTTTGCTACCAACGCCTTTCAATCTCCTCTGCGCCACATCGAGCCTCCCTTGATGCCGGTCAACACCTCGATCAACCTCATCCAGTAGAGCAACCTGCCCTTCTAGTTCATCTCCCATCTGCATGCTTATGTGCCTTTGTCGTCCAATCGACTCGCCCAGTCTATCTAATTGCTCGTCTTGTTCGGCCATGACTTGTGAGTGATATGCATGTATCTGTTCGTTGGTCATCGTCCCCGTGGGATCGGGCTCTACCGGGTTGGGATCGTCGGTGTACTGCGTAGGAAAGAGCGCGCCTCGGTTGGGGTCCAATTCATCATCCGCATCATTATCGCGAAATCGCACACTTTTGGAGGGTTTCGAGATTTCACGCTTCAGACTCGACGACCCAGCTGCGTCTTTGCTAGGCTGCTGGGCTCTTTCAAAGTCTGCTGACAGCGCCGGGTCGTTGGGTGATGTGATCGTAGCCTGGGCGGTAGATGGAAGGTTGTCACCATAGAATTGGCGGGAGAGATCATTGTATTGTGAGCGAAGACGCTGAAGTTGGTCAGCGTCTGAGCTGTTAGACTGTGCTGATCTCTCTAGGGCTTCAAGGCCTTCCCGAAAGGATTCGATGGAGCGCGAGATGTGGGATGATTGAGTCGGAGTGGGATCGAGGTTTAACGAGACAGCTCTTTGCCGCTCGAGGAGGGAGAGTTTTATGTGATCGGCGAGGAGGAAGAGTTGTGAGGGGTTCGACATTCCGATGGCTTCGTGGGTGAGGTTTGGGGAAGATGCCTAATTAAGCCCCAGCCTAAGGAGGCAGCGCATTGGCCGGACACTCGAGAGTCTTGTCGCAGCGATCAGATGTCACTCAAACCAATATGCGGAACGGGAGTCATTCATCTAAGTGCCAGATAGAGGAGCTTGATTTAAGATGGCTGTCGTCGCAAAAGGTCTCCTACGTATGTTCGCGATGTTGGAGGCTTGCCAAGCTTGCAAGCTGACATCACCGGAGTTATATCGGGAGGATTCTAAGCAGTGCAGAAGACTCAAGGATAGCCTGATACGTAAATGGGACAAACCACTGGCACTTTCAGCAGAGGATGCGTAATTCAGCTTTGGCCCAGACAGTAGAATCTCTCCGAAAGCATATTTATTTCCATCAATGCATCAATGCGACGAGATTCAGTGTCTATTGCTGGCCAGTTTTGCCCTTGCGCGAACGCTTTCTGGACACCATGGTGTTTGGATTTTCAAGACAGCCGTGCCCCCTTCAGACTCGGCACCTTGCACTTGCCCTCCACCCCCTCGACCACCAGTTCTCCGGTTCCTCCTTCAACACCCTGAACTCTGGCCGCATCGAACACTACCGCCAAATCTTCGCTCGTGTAAAGTCCCGGCTGAATGCTCTCCCATTGCTTCTTCTTCGGATTCAACACCTTCTCCGGCCCTTTCCCCTCGCCATACTCCCATCCCTCAAAGTAAACTTTGGCCCCTCCTTCACTTCCATCGGGCGGAGCCACTAATTCTACTACTCTATCAGCGGCGTGCGCGTCTTCGCCTTCTTTCGGTGGTGGTGAAGCTGCCAGAACCATTGCCGCGCTCTTGATCCCCCGCATCGTGACTGGTTTCAGGTTCGCCATGACGATCACCTTTCGATCTTGCATTTGCTCTATGGGTATCAGACCTCGTAACCCTGAACAAACTGTCCTGACAACACGGCCAGTTTCCTCGTCTTTATGGGTATTGTCAGTGCCCTCGGCATCGCCCATGGCAATAGTAGAAACGTAGAGTGAGTCGGCATTTTCGTGCGGTATGCAGCGTAAGATATGCCCGACGCGGAGGTCTATCAGAGCCGGGGAAAGCGGGAGGCTGGTGGGTGCGGAAGGTGGTTTGGGAGCTTTGGCCTTCTTTTCTTTCTTCTGCTGGGGTTGGGATTGGCTCTGGTTCTGGTTCTGGGTCGAAGGGGCGGACGTAGTATCGTTTGCGGTTTGTGGTTTCGAAGCTTCGGTGGTAGTTGGGGGTTCCGTAATTGAGGCTCTGTCTGTGCGGGATGCGAGGTCTTCCATATTGCCAACTCTGGCTTGTGTTGGGAAGAGTCTCTTGTAAGATTCTGACAGCGTCGGTCTCGTTTCACAGAGACTGAATCTTCTCAACGGTATGAATCTAAGAGTCCTGTCCTCAACTTTGCTGACTATGTGCTTGTGCGGAGGCTGACCGGGAGACAAATAGGCAATCCGTAGAAGAGCTGAGACAGGGTGGCAATCCGTTCTCGGAATACTTTGATTCCGGAATCCGCTGCTGGCCAGGTATGTCTCTCTGTTTCGCTGCTTTCCTTCTAGATTTCCCGTGTTCGATCTTAGCTGCACTGTTAGCAGCACTTCTATAGGGCGGGCGGGCTGAAGTAGATGTAGATGAGTTTGCACGGTTCTGAAGCTGGAATTTGTTCTAAAGAACTGGTTCAATAATTTCACTGGCATCAACAGCAACAAAGTTTCTACGAGTCATGTTTTGCGGACTCTACTCCGTACTGTGTTGTCTCAGAAGCTCAGAGCTGAAGTGATTGACGGTGAGCTAAAGCCGCACTAAGTCACTTTAGGGCCGCAGGGCTTCTTATCCCATGCATCACTGGATGGGTGTCATTTCTTATTGGTTTTTGATGTTGTTTCTGTTAAGACCGTAGCAAAATTAATTACTACGTAGTACACTAAATCGTGAGAAGACTAATCTTAGTAAGGAAGACAACTCATTCAGTAACACAGGGATAGGATTCTAAGCTCAGCATGACTCGCCTAAATAACCCGTCACATCTAAGATTCCTATCAAATTGCCAATCATCCTTGAGTAGAAAGAAATCTCATAAATAACAAATTTGAAAAGTAAATTATTTAGTAACATCTAATCATGATGCAAATTTCAAACAGTGGTTTTTTTGGGGATCTAACTAGCTTAAAGCATATCGTCAACTACCCACATAAAGTCAGGGTGAGGTTCGTGAAGCCTGCATCTAAATCACGTTAGTCGAAGTGCTCTGCAGATGCAAGTAGGCTGGTTGGCATAACGCGATTGTAAATCGTACAGATATGTGAAGGGAAGACATGGAGGTACTCTCTAATGTGTGTATGGCATGCCCAACTACGTCGAGGGCAGGGAACTGTAGCTGTTGATCTCGAGACGGCGAGTCCACGTCAAGTTTAGTAGTCGTTGGGCCCGGAATTATCATTGGCATGTTCTCACCAGTCGAGACGCGGTTCTAGGCAGAGGTCTGGCAGACGAGCCAAATAGTAAGAGCTATATTTCAGACAGGCAACTCAGCGTCCATTCACAAGAAGCACCGATTGAGTCTGACAGGATCATGTGGTATGCTGAAGGGACTGGCCTATTACGACATTTCCCTTCCAGCATGTGGGATATTGCAAACGACTCGTTCAAAGAGAGACATTAAGGACACCGGAGGGTGGAGGGCGAACATTCGAATTTCCAACGAATTCTGTCTCATCAAGAAGATAATTACAAGATGCAACATCACCGAGACTGATAACTACCATGGCACTAGAGACGTATCCAATCAAGATCGCAACTTTTCTGCTTCCAATCAGCTTTCAACCATCCACAAACTTTATCACCTAATTGAACGAGCAAGTCGCTCCGTATCGGTTCGGCCTGCTCAGCTCCCCCTTTCGGGGCAGTTCGAAAGCCAATGAGCCGCTTCAGCTGAAGATCGTCTAAGCTGCCAATGGTTACGCGGGCCTAGATCACCAAGCTGGAAGCAACGTCAAAGCTCCACCAGTCCATGCTGGGAAGAGATCTCGGATTGAATGATCAAAGGGAAAAAGGAGAACGACGCGAGCTTCTTGAGGCATACTATCCAAAAGATCACAAGGCCCTTGACAGGAGAATGGCAGGCTTCCTGTCAGGAGATACTACTTAGGCCAAATCTTGATCCATGAGCATCGAGCGAGGAAGACGAGACAGAGAATTCTGGCATCTAACGAGGGGAGGCGATAATATTCTCGGCGTTCAAACCGTTTAAATAGCACATAGCTAATTCTACCGGCCAGCGTTTTGTTTGGACGACTGATCCCTACTAGAAAGGGACACAGATTAGAAGTATCATGTCAAGTGTCGAAATCGCCTTGGACCTTGATCATACTGACTGAGAACAAAGTTTCGTCCAATAGGCTACAGATATCGTTATACAGGTCTGGTTCTACCAACCTGGAAGGGGGACGTCGGTCAAAGAGGAGAGCATTTGGAAAGAACATTGCTGGCAGAGCCAGCTCATCACGGAGGCTCCTATGGAAAGGGACGTAGAGAGGAAAAGGTGTGTTGACAGCACGACATTGCGGAACTCCGATAGGATAGACGCCGCTCGAGGGGAAAAGGGAACAGCAAAAGCTTTCCAGGAGCAATGTACACTGAATGCTATATTGTATTGTAATGTAGCAAGCGAGCCACGTCTTCCTCGTGGCTGGTCTATATGCTGGTCACAGTGCTTCAATGCCGGAACATGACTTCAAACCCCTGGTCAAGGCCATAATCCATCACTTCATCTGTCTAGTACTAGTAGAGGACAGGTCTAAGTTTGAGCAAATAACGCCTATGCATGAGGTGCAAGACCCAATGATGGGGGCTCAGCCCCATTGAAAACCACGAACTGCGACTTGAAAAACACATCTCCAAAGATCTGCAAGGGTGCTTGTCGATTCGATTGCACACCACCAAAGCAGACTAGCGGTTGTATGTTAGCACAGAGAAAGATTCTCCTTGTAAAAGAGTCACTGACCTGTTTCACCGCTCTCAGTGTCCGTTCCAGCTTGAGCAAAATTCATCAGCTGGCCAGAAACGATGGCCATGTAATTGTCACCGACAGCGACTTGGAGGTCAGGTAGTGGAGAAGCGCAGGGAAAAGTGAAACCTCCGACTTCAGGACTTAACCGTGCTCCATCAACCTGCGCATAATATGCCTCCACGATTTCATCATCCATGAGCATGAGTGATGTGCCCGTGTCTGCAATAGCTGTACCTGAGCCAGTCGATGCAGTTTGTGGAGCGCTATCGCCAACGGCAAATTGTGCAGAATTGAACTCCCAGAACCCTCGCGTAGTATCCACAGGGACAATGGCTAATTCACCTTGGAATAGACTTGTGTCAATATTTCCGAATTCGTAGGCTCCGGCCTCACCGGCCCGGAGACTGGCCGTCCACAGAGGTTGCGAAAGATCCGGTAGGACGTTGTCAAAAAATGTCTTTTGTCTTTCTGGTCTAATAGTATTAATCTTCGAGAAGCCGAGGCCGACAAGGCCATTGGAATGCACGTCCTCGGTGAAAGATCTGGAAACTGTGTTTGGTATACCAATAGCTTGTTTCTCGACAGTTGCACCGCCAACATCCACTGTGTCCGTCACCACTGGGCCACGCGAGAATGACCCGTCACCGTAGGAGATATTGAACGTCGAGCCCTCCAGCGGAGCCGATGCGCTGGACTTGCTTGGGTCGTATAGGGTGTGGCCTCGCCGACTTCTTGCCGGTAATCCTGTGTTGAAAACCCACCTGTTGTCGAGATTAGCTAGTTGCATTCTCAATTCTTTCCTTCCATCTCTCACATGTCAGAGGAGCCCGAATCAAAGTTCAAGACCAGCATCTGGCCGCCAACGCTAACTGGCGAGAGGAATTCGGCATCATTCTGGGTAGGTGAGGCAGACACCTCGCCGTCCTCGGTTTCATTTCCTCCATTGGCCGCTGCAACTTTGGGGGTAAAGTGGACGCCAGGATAAGTGTCAAGGGCGCCTAATCCAAACTTCCGGTATGCTTTACGCAAGGCGAATGTGCCATCCGGAACATAGTTATGCTGTTGGACTCTGGGAATTTTGAAAGATCTCTTCCTTAAGTGCTGAGCCGGAGCAGCAAGAGCCGTAGTAATCAAGAGAGAGACGGTAAAGAGTGCTTGAAAACAATACATCGTGACTGGCCAGCAATCTCGGAATGAGAAAATGAAAGCTAATTGTGGTTCGTGAAATGGGGATGCTGCTTATAAAAGGAAGAGTGAAGAAGGAAAAGAAGTACAAGCGGCAAGTGCTGCTTCTCAAGGAAGGAAGTAGGGAAGAGAGGGGAGGAAGCAAGTAGCACAACGAAAGGCGTAAGACAAGCTTGATGACAGACTCGAGCACAACGAGGAAAGCCAGAGAAGGAAATGGAGGATGGTGGTCGAGGAGTGATTCACGATGTCTTCTGATGGACAGGGCAAATTCGGTGTTCCGCAGCTACGCATGGCTGGCAACGAGCAGCTTGTGACCAGTCACACTCCTCATACGATGCATACCAGATGAGTATGCCAGGTGCCTATCCCTTGTTGCTAGGAGGCGTCAGCAGGACATCATCAGACTGACCTTGTGGAGCCCCAGCAGCCTAGCACAAAAACGAGTGGCTATTCCGACGTGTTGGGGAGTAATTTCTCGCGGCTCCGAACAAAAGAAGATCTGAGTTTGTAAACACTCCAGAGTAGTCCAGGGAGTGGCTGGCGATTACTCGAAACTAGCGGTGCCAGGTTGGGCGCTGGAGAGATGAAGCAAGCGGAAAGAAAGGAGGCTGTCGAAACGCGGGAGCTTGTGGCTAGCCGACCATTTAAACAACGACCCCCATAAGTAGTTACCTCAACCGCAGACAGGGACCGGAGCACCAATCGCTGCATCTTCAAAGCTACGTATCCCACGCGGGCGTCTCAACCCTGGCAAGGCGAATCAGTTCTCGCCATGATCCTTACCTGAAACACCGTCTCCTCAAACGCGGTGCCTTGCATTGTTGACACTTCAGCAGCCGCCCCGGGCGATCCTCATCTCCGGTGCAGACGTTGACTGAGCTCCATGCACTTTCCCGCCATCTATGGCTTGTTCATTTTCATTGCCAGGGTTAGGAGCTAGAAGAAGAAGTCGAGAAGACTACCTAGTGTTACGTAGTATTCTTGTCTCAGCATGTGCACAATAAATCGAGTCAAGTCTAAACACATATTGCTGTCCTGCAAGGAAAGTAGTTAAGACTAGGCACATACCAGCCTCCGACCAAGGATAACTACAGCCACCAAATGCATCCTAATATTGGAAAATGCGACCACAATCTTGAACATTAAAGGCTATCAGTTCTGTGTCTAGCAATTTGAGCGCCTTACCAACGTAGTCTTTGATGTGAATCACGTCAAACCTAAATGAGATTGACTAATCTATTGTTGTGGTTTAATCAAAGGGGACCATCTGGCAATAATTGATCTGGATCTTCGCCAATGATCTCTCCTAGTTTTCTGACAACGCCTCTGAGGGCCTTGCAGGCAGGACTATCGGGGAAGCCGTCCATAAAGCTCTCCCCAAAGTCGCAAGCCATACCAATTCTTGGGTCAAGTGGCACGGCGCCAAGGAAGGGAATGCCCATCTCCTGGCACAACTGCCTGCCACCTCCCGTGGTCGCTTTGAAGATCTGAGACTCGTGGGTACACTTCGGACACACGAAGCCAGACATGTTCTCGACCAGGCCCAGTACTCTGATGCCAGCTTTCCGACAGAAATCGATCTCCTTCCTCACATCAAGAAGTGACACTTCTTGCGGCGTCGTGACCACCATCGCACCATCAATGCCAGATTCCTTTAAGAAGGAGTTGACAGATAAGTGCTCATCAGAAGTTCCAGGTGGCGTGTCCACTATCAGATAATCAAGCTCACCCCATTCAACATCTTTCAGGAATTGCTTGATAAGTCCATTCTTCTTCGGTCCACGCCATATCACCGCATCGTCTCTGTTTGGCAGCATAAACTGCACGCTCATGACGCCCAAATTATCTGTCACCCATACCGGACTCCAACCCGCATTACTAACGTGTATTGTTTCTGACTCCACCCCCATCATCTTGGGTATTGACGGTCCGCATATATCTGTATCCATGATGCCAACATCAAGGTCGGGATTCGATGCGAAGGCATGTGAGAGGAGGGACGAGAAGGTTGATTTGCCCACACCTCCCTTCCCGGAAAGCACGAGTATCTTGTGTCGTATGCCGGAGAGACGGGTGGTGATGAGAGGTATGTCAGGATCTGGCCCTTTCGGTGCAGACGCGCATATCGATTGGTTGGGACAACCTTGACAAGCGTCGCCCTGACCAGCTTTTTCGGACTCTGGGCCTGGACAGTGTTCTGGCGGTGGGACATCTGTTAGCAGACACACAGGAAAGTCCTGCTTGCAACATACCTGGTTCGGGGGCGACGAGTTTCGGGGCAGCTCTCAGGTGAGCTTCAAGAGCAGACACTTCAGGTACCTCCAAGGAGGGTGCCATAAATTCATATGTTCCTGTGAAAGATAAACGTCGTAATTGCCGCAACGCAGAATATGCACCAGTCGTATTACTCCACTCTGGTGGGAATGCTACACTCGTCAACTGCGCCCTCCCGTTTCAAAATGCCTCTCGTCCAATATAAAAACCCATGTGGCACACCCCAAGTTGGAGAGAACCTCCGGACAGTGGATTGGTAGGAAGTTGCCCCCGCCCGCGGACAGCGCATAGGCCTATGCGAGGCTAACTAATCCTCCTCTGCGACGTCCAGTCTAATGTAGGTACTATCACAACTTATGTCTACCTATGCAACCTTCCACCCATACATAATAGCATAGAATAATATAGTATCATGTCGTTTCTCCTCGGTGGCAGCCTTCCCACCAGCAAGTGAATATGATGTGATCCAACTCTCGTAAACCTTGTCCGTGCCAAGACCATGATCTTCTGCTGTCCTCAACTTGAAGCCTTCCCTGTCCGTCCCAACGTTTGTCTCACGTCATGAGAACTGCTGCAGAGATTGCTGCTTAGACTTGATATCGAGAGCACCGTTTCTCGTTGTATGACTCTTCGAAGGCCATTCCTCTCCGAAGGTCTCACACCCAGATATATTTCCTCGCACAGAAACTCACCAAGCTGGCTTCCGCCACGGTCAACCTGGCAGGCACCACTGTAACCTTCTCAGACCATGAATGGCTTACCGGCAAGGCTGCTCTAGATACACAAGGTCTTCGGGAGAGGAATATATCCCTCCAAACGAACGGTGATGACGAGGCTAGGAAAGCTGTTTTGCATCTCAACGCCCTTGAAGAAAACGGGGAGAAGCAAGAAAAGGACAAGAAAACATTTGGTAGAACACCAGATGGGATAGGTAAGGGATCGGGATTTGCTCAGAAACGAGGGAGACGCTCGCTGGCGAACCGATATGCACATATGATCTTCATCCGGGAAAGCTAATCATTCAATCCAGTCTTCACAGTACCATACACACATGATATGGTTTCTCAATTACTCTCACCTTCTGAGCCAAAGAACTTTTCAGATCTGATTGTGCTTTTCATTCTCGGACTACATATTCTAGGACTATGGCTACTTCCAGACACTTGGAGGGTACCTGTCTTTGGCTCCGTCTTCATATTCTGGAGAGCCAGCTACAACCTCGGTATAGGCTGCCTCTTGCAGATACAGTCGCGTCAGAAGATGCTCGTACGTTGGGCCAAGAAGGCGAAGATCTTTGTAGATCCTGCCACGGGACAGAATCCCCACCCCAAGCTGTTCCACTTCATAAAACGGGAACTTGAAACGAAGATTCCGAGAGATTACAAGTTCGAGAACGCTCCGATCGAGTACAACACATGGCTTGTATTCCGCCGAGTTGTTGATCTCATATTGATGTGTGACTTTGTCTCCTACTGTCTGTTCGCTGCGGTTTGTGGCGGCCGACCGACAGGTGAGACAGCTCTTGGGACGGCTGCACGATGGGTTGTCGGATGGTCGTTAGTAGCGTTCAATCTGTGGGTCAAGCTTGATGCCCATCGTGTCGTGAAGGATTTTGCGTGGTACTGGGGCGACTTTTTCTACCTGATCGACCAAGAATTAACATTCGATGGCGTCTTCGAAATGGCCCCTCACCCTATGTATTCGGTAGGCTACGCTGGATATTATGGTATCTCCCTCATGGCTGCCAGTTACAAAGTCTTGTTTATCTCTATTGCGGCTCATGCTGCTCAATTCATGTTTCTGGTCTTGGTGGAAAACCCTCACATAGAGAGAACTTACAATTCACCTCCTCCGAGAAGAAGACACACTGAGCTAGAATTAGCCTCACGTGACCGAGCCACAAGCAGCGGGAGCAACGAAGCACCTTCTTTGCTCAAGGATGGTCATCCTTCATCCGTTCACAACTTACTCGGAGTGCAAAATATCGACATGTATCGCACTACAGATTTTTCTGTGTTGATAACGCTTTTTCTGATTGCTGCGTTGACGGCTTTGACTCCATCAGCGCCATTCCATCAGGGTCTTTTCATTGCCAACGCTGCAGTATGGAGAATCTGGTATTCTGTTGGTATCGGGTACATTTTGAACCGTCAATCCGAGAAGAAAAAATGGACACGCCATTTTCTCAAATATGGTGATAGCACAGAGGAAGCTTGGAGACAATGGAAAGGTACCTATCATCTGAGCCTGACAATGTGCTATGCGAGCTTTGCTGCTGCTGCGTGGAAGGTCTATGTGACTCCAGAGGACTGGACGGCCGATTTCGCTTTGCTGAAACACGTCATCGGATTCAGCTTGATAGCCGTCCAGCTATGGGTATCCATCAGCATATACGAGTCTCTCGGCGAATTTGGCTGGTTTTTCGGTGACTTCTTCTTTGACCAGTCACCGAAACTGACATATAGTGGCATCTATCGATTTCTGAACAACCCTGAAAGAGTGCTGGGACTAGCAGGGGTCTGGGGAGTTGCACTGATCACTGGAAATCGCGCAATCTTCTCATTGGCAATATTGAGTCACGTAGCCAGTCTTGCCTTCATTCAGCTTGTTGAACGGCCACATATGCAGAAACTTTATGGCAGGCAGCTTCGACAAGATGCAGGCTTAGTGCGGAGTCTGAAGAGATCGCTCCCCCCACCACTGCGGCAGTGGCAAGATGGTATGGACAAAGTCTTGGGCGAAACGTTCGATTACGTAGAAGATTTTCTAGATGCCGCACGCCCGAAGCTTGCTGCTGGGGTCAGTACCATGGTGCAAGATACCAAGGACCTGTTCAACAAATACCCAGCCCGAATTAGCATCACGCGGGTCGAGCCCGAGATTGTCGGCTTCAATCCAGAGGACTATTCCTTGGAAATCGAAGGCACCCCGTCCTCACCTCAAGCCGAACATCAGCGTAACAGCTGCAAGGAATCTGAAAATGCTCGGACCCCACCGAAACGTACTGGGGACTTCAAGACACTGATTTTCGAATATGGCGCTCCAATCAAAGTCAAATGGCGAGCACCAGCCAATCACAGCAAGAAAGACTGGATAGGTCTTTACATGGTGACCGACAATGCAAGCCGCGAGGTGACAAGAATTTCATCATCTGGCCGATGGATCGCAACGAACCCGGACATGTACGATTCCCTAGCGCCAGAGCAGGGTCTTCTATCAAGCGATGTTCAAAGCGCAGACTTACAGCATCATGGTGAGGGACCTACTCAACAAGATAAACTGGACTCTGGCCATCATGGGTTCGTGAGCGGCGAGGTGATCTTCTCCGGCGACAAGCTCTGGTGGACGCAAGGCGTCTTTGAGTTCCGCTATCACCACAACGGCAAGCACAACGTCATGGCCGTGTCTCTACCCTTTGAAATCCGTATCGCGCGCTTCGATGAAGACGAAGTCAGCTACAGCGGTACTAATGCACAACACGATACCATTCTGCGAGCAGCAGTCGAGAAAGCGTTACTACCGGTAGTCCGCAACTGTTTCGATCGGGACCCAGAAATCGCGCCTGACACGGTCGATGACCCCTACGGCACCCTGGTGGAGCGCGACGGCAAGTTTGCGCGCAGAGTCGTCTTTGCTGTCCATCAGATGTTTGGTATTGAGCTCGCCCCGGAAGTGGTGAGAGCGGATGGCAATGTGAAGAATCTGGCCTGGAGGATTTGTAATGCGAAGAAGGTCTTGGTAAGCTCAAACCCTTGGGGCCCGTTTTGGGCGATCGACTTCTTGTTAATACCCCTTGTTTATTCTTTTAGGAGCCGTACAGTATGTCCCGATCAAAGGGAGACACAACACCAACCAATGATGATGAAGACAAGGGATTACGATGAAAGAATAACGATGACGATGAACGAATGACGCGTGGCAGACACAAGCCAACAACTGGTCCTAATTTCCACCTTACTTTTTTCAAGCCACAAAGTTCACCTGCATTACTTTTTTATTCGCTTGCACATTGAGAGCAGCCACCCTACATACATAGCTGGAGCGGAGCGGAGCGGAGCTGAGCATCCCCAGCGAATAATCGAAATGCTTCCTAAAATTAGTCCTCTTACTGAGAACACGTAGCCTGATTCACACTTATTTATCAACAGCATAATCGATCACGATCACTTTCTTCCCCGTAACAGCATGCGGCACAGATCAGATACCCATCCTAAATCATCCAGAATAATCGCATTGGGTCCCTCATCAGCACCACCTGTCATCTGTCACTGAACCTTCCACATCAAGTACATAAGCTGGCTGCAAGCCCATGGTACGCTAGGTGTATTGAGGAACAGTTAGTAACTTCGTTCGGTGCATACATGGATTTTGCGTGGGATATCAACGTATGATTGATTGACGGGCATTTCATTCCATTACATGAGGGGCATCATCTTTGATTTCGAAACGATGGATGGACTCATGTCTCCATTGCTTGGTTGGGAACTTTGTATATGATTTGAGTGTCAGTTCTGTCTGTCTATGATACGAGTACTGCTACCCAGTCTCATCTCGTCAACAGGTAGGTAGGTAGGTAATTACTGTGTCCGTTCCGTCCGTCCATCCCTTGATCCGGTGATCCGGTAATCCCAGAGGTCTGTCTCTCTATCTGTCATCCAGAATCGTCCGTCTATTGATGATGGAAGCAAGCCAACCCGCTTGAACGCATACAATCAACCAATCAATCTAGCACTAAAACCCACGAGGCCGAAACATGACCCGGGCGCCAGCCATTTAACCCGCCTAAGAGAAAAGCCCCCTCCTCTTTGCAATTTCCACTCTATATTATACTCCCATAACCCCCTCTACTCCGTTCCAACTCCCTACTCTCCCTCATCAGCCTCTGGCTTTCCCCCAACCCCACAACCTTCTCCTTGCCTCTCACGCTCGGCACCCACCCCCTCATCCATCCACTAACTCTTTCCCACCTACTCCAACCCCTCTTGTCTCTTACCTTCACAACCTTCTCCTCGCCATAACCGCCATACAGCAAAAACTGCACGCCCATCATCCCATCCATACTTAGCACGCCTGCAGCACCAAGCCAGAACGGTGCCGCCAAGGCCACCCACTCCCATCTATCTGATCCCTCAGGGCCAGCCCATCCATGGCCACCGTAGGGTGGGAAAGATTGCCATGCATTTGGGCTGGTGAGGAGGGAGGATGAGTAGAAGAGGTTGCCGCAGAAGGCGGCGATGAAAAGTAATGGTGATAGACCGGCGGTGGACTTGCGGTTGAAGTTTTGGTAGAGTTGGGGAAGGCGGGAGCCGAGGTAGAGGAGGGTAGACGCCCAGGAGAGGACCCGACCGGCCAGTTCGGTTGTGGATTCGGCGGAGAGGATGTGAATGTCTGCTGTTGCGGTGAAAAATGCTGCGGTTGTAGGTGCGGCGTTTGCTCCGCGGGACAGAAGAGCGCAAGACGTGGAGACGTAGAGCAGGGTGCGTGGAGAAGGTGAGGGCATCCAGCTAGAGGCAGCGCTCTCGGAGAGATATGCTGAGATCGGCTTTGGAGCCGCCTTCTCAGATGCACTCCCTGAGAGTTGTGGTGCATTGATGGGAAGCGAACAGTCGGAAATTCCTGACTTGGCGCCGTCCGACTTCAATGAGGCGATCTCTTCGTCCCTGAAATGAGAGTTGATTGGCGATAGCCCATTGATGCTGTCGACATCGCTATCGCCCAGATCGCTGCTATTTGATGAATGCAAGCTTTGTCCATCCAAACTCCGCTTGATGTATGTGTACCAAAAGTACTGCCAAACAAGGCAAACATCAACAAAAACATAATATCCAGCAACGACTACTTGCCATCCAGCCTGATGTGTGAACAAAGCTCCAAGCAGGTTTGTGGCGTCACCTAAGCACCATTCAACCAGGAAAAATATGGACAGACCCGCTGTCGATTGTATTTGGTAATTCTTATATATTTGTGGTAGCTGGGCAAACAACCATGAAACGATGGACAACGTGCCTAGGGTTGTAGATAGTAGAGCTAGGGCTGTAGGTATACAGCTGTGGAAGGAGGACGATAGCTGGGCAAGGAATGGTGTGGTAGGAGAGCAATGTGGAGGTAACGACCGTGCCATTATCGAGGACATGGGTGAGAAAGACGCCATCATGGGCTTTGATTATCGTCAAAAAGGCAAGCTCGAGTCGAGTCCGGGTAACTGCACTATCTCGTACCGATGGTCATGGCAGATTCCCTGCGTTAAGAAACTGGGGCGCGGAAAGTTTCGAGGTTCGTTTCGACACGCGTGTAATAAATAGTGGAAACAGTTTTTGCCGAATGCAGATAACTGATAAGGATGACGGCGAAGTGCTGAGCCTATTTTGAATTAGGATGTTATTGAAGTAGGATTGGTAGAGCGATGGTGCTGCCTTCTGCGCAATGACTGAGACCAAGGTGAGTAGACAACTAACGCTGTGGTGTAACTTAGTCGCTGCAAGGTCGACAAAGAGCACTAGAGATAGGGTATGGAAAGGAGAGCGATAGGAGACAAAGGAACGAAGAAAGGAGTAATAAGGAAGTTGTTGTGATTTCGTATTAGGCAATCAAGACCACTTAATACCGACTGCGCCTGGTAGAGGCCATTCAGCGCAATCAGCTGGTCGCTCAATCCGTCGGCGCCATGCCTGCCCAGGAATTGGTGGGAGGTCGGAAGAGTGTACGATGTAGCAGATGAGATTGCAAGCTGACCCGGATAGCAGACATGACTGGCACATGTGGCACACTGAGGGAGTAATGCCTATTATGTGTGGATTATCCGGACGAAGATAAGGGCTACGTTGAGATTGGACGAGGCCGATGAAGGATAACACTTAGTAGGCTGCAAGATGCAGGCTTGGCACTCGATAGAGGCATCCGGGCGTACATCTCCAGCACTGCAGGATGCGAGTCACCTATTCCTCTTCCTCTTCCTCGGGACAAGGGCACACGATCACTGCAAGAACCCTATCGTTGTCTATACGAGCAAGGAGTATCCCTCCTGCGCAGTACTCTGAGTCCGTTCAGAAGTCACTGTTCTTCACAAAATACTCCATCTATTGTGTCTGACTTCGGCACTGATTCCACCCAGCCTAGAGGCTGCCCTAAAGCACGTCATGACACATTACTTCGTCAAAAAGAAAGTCGTGCACATCCTGATATTACTGTCTATAGAATAATTGGGCGCCGCACCCGGTCTTGAGGCTGCTTTCTGTCCTGCAGTTGGCTCGTAAGTTAGTCATCGATCCGTGAGTCTGCACGTGAAGGACGTTCCAAGAGGCCGTTACACGCCATCTTCCTTAGCTGGTGCTGATCGGTTCCGACGACGCGCTTACCTCGCCATCCTTCTCGCAGTCATGGGCACACTGACAGCTGCGCTAAATGCGTACCCTCCAATAGCTTGCTGCAGGACGGGCCGCCTTTCTGGTCCATTGCAAACAACAATGGAGTTATGGACCAGACAACTGCCCAAAGTTCAATAACCTCCCAGCACTGGCAAGCCCGAAGCCAGCACATGGCAAGTCCTTGATTGTCATTGTTATAGGCTGGTCTTTGAAGAAGATAAATGATCCGTTGCGCAGGAAATCCAAGATACCGGTCCCATCAAAGCCATTGAAAGCAATGTGAGTGAGGATGGACGATCGTCGGTCCATTGCCCGCAACCTTGCCATCATGTAAAATAGCCAAGTCACAGTATTGACGGTACGAAATCATGGGAGACGTCTGAATGGGAAGAGTTCCACGCTACCTTCCATGCCAGAAGACAACGTCCGACACCTTCCTCGAATACGAGTGATAAAGCCTACTAGCAATGCGCAGGTTCCCAGCTGAGTAGCACAGCACACAGTCGACCAATTATCAAGCTCCTCCTTGTCGGCCGGGTTTTCCTTCGCATCTAGCCCGTAGAGTCTGTACAGTCATCCTAGTTGGAATTGTTGTTATGGAAAGAACAAGATGGCGATGAAGGCTGACGTAGGGCTGAAGAGAGACTTGTTTTGATTGTGCATGTCCTGCATGTCGGGTGAAGAGAGCAGTTCATGATTCTGGCAAGCAAGTCGACCAAGAAGCTCGCAGCCGTCAGCTACTAGTATGCCACGGACCAGGCGAGACCCCATCAGCAAGTAGCTACAGGGGAGCCTTAACCATTTTCGCAGCCCTGCCGCTATGTACGCGTAGCAGGCTGGGATGAAAGACGACGAGGGTTCCGGCCAGTCAACCTGAAGCTCGCCATCACTTTGGGCAAGATCGATGCAGACACCACCATAACATGCGAAAAGATGGTACACAATTGAGTACACAATCTATTTGCCGAGGAATGTGCACCGCCACCAACTAAGCACAGACCAGCCGTTAAAAGTCGAAACGCTCCGGTCTAGCTAGTCTTCTAGTGCGAGATATGTTCTCCGAGCGTCACAGTACGATACACTAGTCTTGTCGGCAGACGTTGCGAACCAAATTTCCACAGGTCAATCGCTCATGCCCATTCGTCCAGCCTCTGCAAAATCGCCCATGAGTCACTGTGTGCCATAGTGGGTCTCATGATAAGGATTCGTCACTGGCAGTCGCGTGGATGACAGCTGCCGGCCCGGGCCCGCCCGGCATTCTAAACGGTTATCTTGTATAGTGAGAGGTAGCTTAGTTAGCTATATACAATGGCATTTCGAGATGGCCTGAAATGATTCCTTGAGGAGATTGTCGGATGGTCGGCCCTACCATTACTGCTCTCGCGAAATTCTCACCCGTTGCCATCACGTTCCCGCCATTTGTGCATATCTGCCAGGAGATGTTCCGCCGATGACCATACGCTATGCTCACGCCATGATCTTGCTACGAGCTACTAGGGTCCTGCGCGCGTCCTCCAAATGCAGGGATCGAGTCCACTCTGACACCTCAACGCTGCACATGATTGTGCTTCTGTATCTGCCTGTCTCCAAGTGGACCTGAGGCGCAAGCCTTGTCATGATAGTCGATCAGAATCGCCCGATCTGGTGTATACTTGCGAGCATTGTTCGGTTTGGACCACTTGTATATAAACCACCATGTAACAGGTATGATAGATAACAGTATTGATACGTTTGCCCAGACCTCTGCTCCTGAGGCCTGCCTTGCTTAAAAGGCGGCTCCTTTCCCATTACCAGCTCCTTTCTTTCCCTCCTTTTTATCTTCACCCATACAAAGCAATTCTTCTTGAACCAATGCTTACCACACTGAAAAAAGGCTGTTTCATTCTACCAGCTCTTCTTGAACCAAGTGATTTACAAATCTCTCTTCTGGTATACCACTTGTGCTCTCCAGAGCATATTCACCGATTCCCCTCCACCACCTCCACCAATACCATGGCTCTCCTTCTCCGTGGTGCTGCTCTCCTCCGCCAATTAGCACGCACCTCTACGTGGTGCTGGGGATCAATGCAGCTTTTGCAGGCCAAGACGAGCTCAAGATAGATAGATTTGGTGTTGCAATGACATAACACCTTTCGAGTTCGCTTCCATCGCTTTCATTGAGGCCATGTGTCTGCCTATATCCGAGTCAGCTCATGTTGTAGAGGCTCCAATGTTCCCTCCCAGCCATAAAGCTCCTTCGACGCCAGTTCTTCCAATTGCTCCTGTTTCTCACCATTACTACCCACATTGATTCCTGTCAGACCGTATAAGCGCCTCTTGGCCAATTTTTCTACGCGTAGCCCCTGCGTTCTACCTGCTGCTTTTAAATGATCAATTTTTACTGCAATTTTGCAGCTGGTTTCTTACCGTACATCTACACTTTGATAGATAATAGAACTTGTTTCTCTACGCCTTTCTGCGCACTCTAGGGAGTAGGCCACACACGAGGCCTGTCTGGCAAACCTATCCAGGGACGCCCTTTTTCCTTTACTTTAGCGTATGGATATATCTTGTGGGGTGTCTGGCTTGGGACTTGTGCATTTAATAGACGCTGTACGGAGTAAAGCTGTGGCTGTGTTGGCGCCTATGAGCCTTGGCACGGCCTTGGGCATTAGATTGCACAGCCACATGACACATGCCGGGGCACCACAGTTAATTTTCTTACCCAGCAGCTGCAACATCGCAAATTCCTCTGGACCTAGCGACTCTTGCCTCTCACCCTCTCCAACATATCAAGATGGGTAGAGCAAAGAAAACAAGAAAATTCGCGCAGGTCCGAGATCCATTGCGGACGACGTAAGAGATCACTCAAATTAACGTATTGCAGGTGAAACGGATCCTAGGCCAACACGACAGTCGGCTCCAAGCAAAATTGGCCAGCAAGCAGTCCTCCCGGAAAGGAGACGAGAAGAGCACCGTGCGACACATACCGCAGGCACCATCTGCGCTTTTCTTCCAAGCAAACCAAGCTCTTGGTCCTCCGTACCACATCATACTCGATACGAACTTCTTTTCACACACTGTCCGTTCCAAGATCGACATCCTGACTGGCTTGATGGATTCGCTGCTCGCCAAGTGCATTCCTATCGTTACGGAGTGCACGATCGCCGAGCTTGAGAAGCTGGGCGATAAATATCGTCTGGCACTTCGCCTAGCAAAGGATGAACGATGGCAGAGACTAAAGTGCTCGCATTCCGGAACATATGCAGATGATTGCATTGTTTCCACCGTCATGGCGCATCGCTGTTACTTGGTGGGCACGAATGATAAGGAGCTACGACGGCGCTTGAGGAAGATACCTGGCGTCCCTCTTATTGCGGTTGGGAGGGGGAAATACGTTGTAGAGAGATTACCTGATACAATGGGATGATTGTGACAGGGCTGTCGTATGATGCCGGAAGCGCGTGGGGCGTGGCACGTCAGCATTGTGACGTTCATTGCTTCAGGTTACATTCATCCCTCAATACAACTATCTCTTATCCTCGGACTCAGTTTTGGGATGCATACGTACACCAGGTGGTTTGATCCAATCTTCAGTCGTCGTTTGCCTCATGCGGAACGATTCTGCTGCAAACACCTTTGGCCGAAGCAAAACTCCTCTAGCTTCATCGTCCCGAGGCGCAGCTGTTCAGGGTCAACCAGAGCCCTATGATTCTGCCGATCAAGGTATGTCGTGGGAAAAGCAGGGGAAATATGATATTTAGCTTTAGCGGAAGCCTTTTCCCGTTCGATGAGGCATGAGGATTTCGGTCGTAATAAGCTGGTGGGAGGAAAGAATTTTGATCCAAGGACATGATATCAGTGTGACCATCCGCTTCCAGGAAATCTCTCAAGAAAACGAGATCGGTCCTGTTTCTCAACCACGTAACGACCATCGTGTCTGGAGTGACATTGGCCCTCGAAGGACTTCAGCCACTTGATGAATCGTGGACAGGTGAATAGCTCTAATGGCTGTATTGATCTTGTTCTTTCCTCCTGGTCCGTTTGTCCATACACTCTCAATGCCGACAAGTTGCCAAAGAGCTCTTTGAAATGACCTGTTCGGAGTGACAACTCTGCTAGTAGAGTTCCCACCAAGTTCTTCTAAGTTGCCGTTATACCGGATGCGCGAATTTTGACGATTTTTTGAACACATATTCGCATATTCCAACTTCGAAACCCTACCTAGACGCCGCAGAATATTCGAGATCGAGGCAAACTAGCCGGGTTTCCGGAGCTTGCCCCGTTCTGGGTTTGCTTTGAGAGCTCCCAGATCTGCTTCAGTGATTCCCATTTCCTCTTCTCTGGAGCTTGCTCGTTTTGACCGTCAGTTTTCCATAAACGGTAGTGCCCAGTGAACGGTCCAGGGAAACGTTCCGCTTGAGTGAAGTTGGGCAGAGATGCACAGCCACCTCCTGAACAAGGTTTCCTGCCGCATAACATGAGATAATAGTCCCGCGTTGCGGTCCAGTCATTTGGTTCATTATTTCTATCATCACCGAGATCTCCAAATGTGGCTGAAGCCAATACTTGACTTGGCTATAGTTATACCCTACGATGCACGATTCATCAATCACAAAAGGAGTAGAGAAGCAGCACTTAATTTTCGAGGATCTCTTTCGTTAGCCTACAAGTACTTCGTCTTCGTACGATTTTTAATCAACGACTACTGACGAGCCAGCGGATCATCAGCTTCTGGACTCCGAGTCGTCTCTTCTCTTTTAGTGAATCAAAGTACCAACCAACCAATCAATCAATCAATCAAACAATCAATCAATCAATCAAACAAACAATCAATCAATCAATCAATCAATCAATCAATCAATCAATCAATCAATCAATCAATCAATCAATCAATCAATCAATCAATCAATCAATCAATCAATCAATCAATCAATCAATCAATTCTCAATCAAACAATCAATCAATCAAACAAACAAACAATCAATCAATCAATCAATCAATCGCTCAAGCCTTCGCTCCCATCGCAAAAGTACACTAAAAGCAGAACTCATTCCTTCCTTCCTGACCACTCAATCTCCCGGATGAGGTCCGTCTTCTCCTACCATGCTCAGCTCAGCTCGTCTTGCGGAATCGCTCGCTGATCCTGCGCTCATATGTGCAGGTGCTGCCCCTCGCTCATCTCTTCCGATCGGTAAAGAGTAAGGGCGTCGGGCGAAGGGCTTTTGTACCGTAGAAAAAAAGCAAAACAGAACGCCGAAAACTCCGTGTAAACTCCGTCGACATCCGCTCCCAGCGCCTTCGCTTCGCAATGGCATGTGTGGGTATCTTCGCTTTGCATGAAAACTCTGTGGTGTCGAATCGATTTGAGTCGTAAACATTGACAATTGAGACTCCTTCCGACCTTTCCCAACCCCCTGAGTGACTCCAACCACCCCTCAACCGATCACGTATCCAATCTTTCTCTCCTTTTTCGCCTTCTTCGTCTTCTTCGTGGGCTGTGCACTCTGGCTCTTCCCTTTCGCCTTCCCCTTTCCGCCACAAATCTCCTTCTCCAACTTCTTTCTGTCTTTCTTCATTTTCTGATGTTCTTTCTTCGCTTCCTGCACCTTAACACGCTCTGCCAGCATCTCCTGCTCTATCTTGGTCATCAGCTCTGATGTTCGCTGTCGGGCTTTGCGGTTCGCTTTCTTGCGTTGTTGTTTTGTAGGGTTTGTGTTTCCCATGCTGGAGTTGTTGGATGAGGAGGATGAGGAATGAGGAGAATCCGATCCCTCGATCCATGCCGTGACTTCTGAAGGATCTTTCATGTACAGCTCCTGGGGCTGCTCATCTGTGTCTTCTGTGGGGTTAGATTGCTCTGCGGCGCCATCTTGAACCATGAAATCTTCTTCGACCGGGCACGGGGAAAGACCATCGACACCATCTGTAGCTTCAGTAGGGAATGACGTTCGCTGGTTGGATGTTGTAGATAATGAGGGTGATGTGATGAAGGTGATCGAGTCATCGCTAGCAGTGCTACATTCTGAAGCAGGAGGCGAGGGAGGAAGGACCGGAATAACCGTGGATTCAGGTGTCGTGCACTCTATGATGATTGGTTCCTCGACCTCTTTCGATACTGTAATAGGGGTTTCATCGTTATGTGCAGCTTGTTGTTGCAATTTCAGCATCTTGGTTCTTGGAGATATCGCTCGGGCCATCTTGCGGGTATGGGGTGCCGAGACAACACATTCGGGCTCCACTGCAGCCTCTATGACAGGCTTTTCTTCGGATACGCTATCTGTAGGAGCGTCTAGAGTCCCGAAGGACTTGGTGGAAGCAGTCGCTTCCGCGGGTAATGCTGGGTTGAATTCTTGAACATCTTTGTATGCAGCACAAATCGCCTCATCGAGTGGCGTGCTCATTACCGCTCGAGCTGGGTGTGACTCGCTGTCAGCCTTGGTAAGGTTGTCAAGAGGGACGTGCAATCTTTCAATATCCTGGGCAGGGAGAATAGAATTGGTGCCCGAAGAATAACCTGAGTCGGAGCCAGCCGTAGTTACTTTGGCAAGGTCTTCCTCGGGAGCGGCAACCCGCACTTCATTCTGTTGTGTTTGATTCTCATCAATGCTGCTTTCATCATTTGAGCCAACACACCCATAATCAACTTCTGTTGTGGTAGAGGAGCTGGGCTTCTTCAACGGTGGATGAAATTGCACAGCCTTTATCATTGTGATCGGTCCTTTTTGTAGACGGTTTGATGAATGTTGTCCATGATGGATGCTCCTTGACAATTCGAAGGAGATTTGATGAGCTCTGCTTGTTCGAGTGAAGAACAGGCGATGAATGCTGCTTAGTTGTTTGAAGAATAGGGGATGGGCGCTGCTTGATTCTCTCCATCACGGCTGGTGTGCTCCATTTCAGGTTTGGTAGCGGGTTGGCTGCCCTCGGAGTGGATTTGTGAGTGATGCCAGTGTCTTCAATATGGTGAGATTCGAGGCTCTCAAAATCGTAGCTAGTCGCCGTCGTGTGCAGCCAAGAGAGGACATTAGAGAGCAAACGAGCCATTTTTAGACCAGGTTTAAGGCCCAAAGTCTGTGGTCGTGGCGATCGTAGGGTAGTGTGGGTGGCACGATCTTGACACAAATTTAAGCGGTGTGCATAGACTAAGAAGTTGATGAAGTCTTGGTGCTTAAAAACAGGTGATTGTGTAAAGGGAATGAATGGAAAGCGGCAAGGTGGGTGTATACCTCAATGCGGGTAGAGAAGAAGAAGAAGAAGAAGAAGAAGAAGAGGGCGAACATGTGGCTTTGAAGTACAATTTAGCTTGGTGAGCGCATGGCCTGCATCTAATACAAATAAAAGTGAATTCTGGTGCAGTAACATGCATAACAGCACAGGTTAATTGTGCTGGCAGGTGAGTGTTTGGCATGGCTTTGTTTGTGGTAGAACACTACATTGTATGATTAGCGGCTGGTAGTGAATGCCCTGGTTGCTAGGCCACACACGACTTTTTATTGAGCAGCGCCTTCAGTTCAGTGGAGTAGAAAATGCATTGTTGTTGTATCTAAACTACCGAAGGAGATGGATATATTTCCGTACGGAGTAGTGCATCAAAAGTCATCAGTATACGCTAAAATTAGAGCACCGCTAGCAAACTATAGCGGAACTTAGCACTATGTAATCCGTGGCCTATCCCCTCCGTCCCTGAACAGGGGTGTAGTTTGTGCCTATTAGCGCTGTCGATCATTATAAGGGGTCCAAAAACGTCAACAAACGTCTATTTTCGGCGAATTGAGACTGTTCTATCTAGCTATTGGCCTCAATTGAGCTGTGATACTGTTGCCAGTAGTCTCCTTTGATACAGAGCTAAATCTGGCATTTACTGCATCTTTGATGAGTGAAGGAGCCTCCTAAAATACCCTTGTTAGCGCTGTTGGTAGTTAATTCTGTAATGTCGGTTCCAAATTTGCGTTTATTTGACCGTTTACGCAAACAGCCTGATGAATGACGCTTTCCCTATTCGTACCGGCCACGCTATTTAAGTTATATAGGTTTATAGTAGTGCTAAAATACTGTTGTAGATTGTGATGGATGGAGTATCTCCTCTGCTATGGCGCAGGAAAGACACGGGACCAGCCACGCACTCGGATAGCAGCACTCGGATGGCAGCGCCGATGGCGTATCCATAACGGCACGCGGAACTCTTGCCGTCAAGCTACTATGCCGCCGATAGAGGCATCCGTACGGCACGTGACTCCCCGTACGAGTACCATAGAACAGGAGATTAATATGACCCCTTTAGGGAAGTACAATCTCCTCCAGAGGGAAGCTACCGCTTCTGGCCCTGCAGATACTCTGTCGGATCCTCTACGCAGGTTAACTAGTAGCACCCCTTGTGTTCGATGAAGGAGTATATAGAGTAGAGCGCTGGCCGCACTGTAGATAGACTCCTTAGCTTACGTTTTAGCAATCTATGGACTATTGATTTGTTCTAGTTTCGAGCTATTGCAGTAAACATAAGCTCAACACTCACTTACTATCCTGAGAGACGATACAAAACTCTCTTATCTGTAGCACAGCCATTAGAGAACCCATCTGGGGTTATTTAACTGTGTGAGAAAGTTGTTGCTCCGGAGTAACGTAAGGTCTGTTCGATATAAACACCCTATACTGTATGAAGGTTTAAGAACTATTAAGTCAAGATGATTTGTGATTAAATAGAGAGAAGGAAGAGTAGCAAAGTTCGCTATCCTTTCTTGAGCAACTAGAGACAGAGCCTAGACAAAGCCCCTCCTACGGATTAAGACGCCCTGTGCGCATTAATTAAACACGCAAAGAGAATAACGGATAATCCATCAGCTCTTCTAGCCTTTATAGCACTAATTAACAAGAATCAGATACACGCAGCAGCGTTTGTACTAATATTAGTAGCTGCTTATAAGGAAGAAAAAGCCCTTTATCTAAATACGAGATCGTATCCCTATCCTGTCATGGCCAGAGGAAGTCAGCTATAGGTACCTGTGGTCAGTAAAGGCTAGGATGGCGGCGGGGAGCTGGGTCCGAGGTCGACGGCGTGGCGGCTCTGAGATGTTTCGGACGATAGTCTTAGCATGTCGGCGATAGGGTTCGTAATATCACCCCCTCTCTATGCGCGAGCTCCTGGGAGCTCGAATTGTACCTGGCGTTTTAAACGGGGAACTGGGTATTCGGGGCATCTCGGGGCATGGCTGTGGCGCTCGTAGAACTCTTAGACAATCTCAGGGGCATGAAGAAGATAGGTTGTAGGATTCTAAGTTGTTTCGTTAAAACTAGTCTATATGACTAGAAACTGGAATAGTCTTCTTCTGCGGGCTCTTCTTACTTCTAGAATGGTTTTGACTTCCTATTTGTTTCATCAGATATATTATTGCCTATATATTACCTTAAATAAACTAGTAGCTAGTGCTAGTACGCTAATAAAGTCTTTAGTTCCTAATATCTAATAGTTTGCTAGCAAACTAATAATAAAGGAGGAGAAGCTAGTACTTAAGTTATAACTTCTGTAAAATATATCTATAGTAAGGTGCTACTATTATAAGAAAATAAGATACTACATAAAGGATTGCCCTTAGGCACAAGAGTAATTAGGAAAAGAGTTATCTATTACTAAGACATTATAAGTAGGCCTAGTAACGCAACTAATAAAGAAGCTATAAAGATCCTTATTATAATAATAAAGGGTAATTTCAAGGCTCTATTTCTGATTAATATTAATATTAAGAGAAAAAGAGAAAAATTAATAATATTAGTACTATTAGATATAGAATATTAGTTAAGCATAATTATAAACTATTAATTAGCAGAATAACTTTATAAAAGGTTACAAATTAATATAATAGACCTAACTAAACTTATTCTTATCTCTGATTTTGTTAGTAAGATCTATTAATCTATCTCTTAGGCCCTTTATTTACTTATATACATTAGTAAATACTAGTAGAGATCACAGATCTTTTATATAATAAAGACTGCGTACTTTATAATCTTAAGGAAGAAGTAAATAAGGCTATATAGCTATATTTCAGATTCTAAGGATTTGTTAATAAAGTTTATAAGGAATTATAATTATGAAGAGTAACTTATATTCTAGCAGAATTATAAGAGTTAAAGTAATAAGCCTAAGGCTAAGGAGTAAGTAGTAAGGAAAGAGCTAATAAAGAAGTTATATAACAAGTTTAGCTATATATATATAGCTAAATTCTAGGCTAATCTAATCAGGGCATTACTACTATAGATAACAAAGATTCTTAAGTGTTCTAAAACAGCCCTAGCTGTTTTGTGACCTTTACGCCTTATTAAGGTAAAGAAGACTCTAGGTAGCAGGATAACTATAGCTATTACTTACAAAAGGAAGATTAAAGAGGCTAAGGCAGCCTAGTATAATACTAAGCTTATAAGTATTGCAGCATTTAAGTAATTATTAATTATCTCTAGTACAGAAATATTCGTTATTATAATAAAGGACATAAATAAATATGTTAAGAAACAGATCTAACTAGAATCAGACCTAAAGGAGATTCTTTTAGTAGAATTTTAAGAATTTATAGATGTCTTTTTAAAAGAGGCTTCTAATACTCTTCTAAAGCATAAGGAGGAATACAATTATAAGATTAAATTAGAAATAAATGCTAAGCTATTATAGATGTAGCCCTTATATAAGATAAGCTTAAAGAAGCTTAAGGTAATTAAGAAATATATTAAGGAGCATCTTAAGAAGGGATTTATTAAACTAAGTACCGCCTTATTTATATTACTAATTCTTTTAATATAAAAACCTTAAGGAAGACTCTGTTTCTATATTAATTTTAAAGATCTAAACACTATTATAAAGAAGAATAACTATACTATCCCTTAGATTAATAAGATTATAAGTCTTCTTAGAAAAGCTATAGTCTTCTTTAAGCTAGATATTTAATAGGCATATTACTAGATTTGTTTAGTAACTAAGAAAAACTATAAACTTATCATGTTTAGTACTGCTTATAATAATTACTATTACAAAGTATTACTATTTAGATTAATCTTTATACTAATAATATTCTAACGCTTTATAAATAAGAAATTTATAAAGGTATTTAGAAAATTTGTTATACTATACCTAGATAACATCTTAATCTTTAACTAATTAAGAGAAGAATACAAGTAATATATATAAAAAGTCTTACAGATTCTTTGCAAAAGTGATATTTAGGCTAACATTAAGAAATGTGAATTCTATATATAGTTAATAAAGTATCTTAGATTAATTATAACTCTAAAGAATATTTAAATAAATCTAAAGCGTATATAAGTTATTTAGAAGTAAAAGAAACTTAAGTCAAAAGATATCTATATAGTATAAAGATTCCTAGGATTTGTTAACTTCTATTAATAATTTTGCTTAGGATTTAACAAGATAATAAGGCTGCTAAATAACTTATTAAAGAAGGATATAAGGCGTATTTAGGATGACTATTATATAAAGGTATTCTAAATACTAAAGAATCTAATTTTGAAGAAGCTAGTCCTAACTTATTTTAATCCTAAGAAAAAGATAATTATAAAATATAATATTAGTAATTATATTATTAGTAGTATACTTTTATAAAAAGGCAAAGATAAAGAACTTTATTTAGTAGTGTTCTTTTTAATAAATATAATACTAATAAAGTATAATTATATTATTTATAATAAGGAACTACTAACTATT